TGGTAGGGGGAGAGCGAATTGGCCGGCGGGAAGTGGGACTGACGCAGGCACATGCAGACCCTGGCACATGAGTGAGTCCGGCCCCGGGGATTCCATTTTTCCCCCTTCCTCCCCCCACCACATACCCTCCCTTGAATAGTTGCGAACTGCCTGGCAGGTAGACACACTCACGCAGCGTGAGCACATCTACCAGCCCGGCAGTTCGCAACTAGGTACTGATACTGCGAATAATAATAATAAAACTGACCTAATTAGAAAATACCCGACATTTTATATGTCCGGTATTTTCTCAATTTGTTTCCCTGACAGAACCTTCAGGGTATGTCTACACTACCCTCCTAGTTCAAACTAGGAGGGTAATGTAGGCATACCGCACTTGCAAATGAAGCCCGGGATTTGAATTTCCCGGGCTTCATTTGCATAAGCGGGGAGCCGCCATTTTTAAATCCCCGCTGGGGGGTTCTCAAAAATCAAAAAGGGGGCACGGCCCCAACAAGTTTGGGAACCACTGTGCTAGAGACAAAGTGTGGAGCAACAGAATTAAGGTTGCCCAAGCGTTTCTGTTTTAATAGGTCATGGGCATCTGCCTTTACCTTTTTCAGATGTACAGCTTTCTGCCTGAAACTTGGGCCCATTTGTCAGGGCAGCTGTGAACTGGGTGGGGGTGAGTTCAGCTTTTTTGAAAGAGGCAGGCTCTTCCCCTAACAAAAGAGTCCTTTTTTTTTTTAAAGCAGAATTTTGTAGGGATGTGAAAGGTTATCCAGTTAGCATCACCCTGGATGGGTGAGGCTAACCAGTTCTGGTTAATTGGGTGGTGGGGGTGGGGCTGCAGCAGCTCCCCACCCGCTGTGGGCAGGGAGCAGCTTCAACCCCACAGGGCCCGCTGCAGACACGGGCTGCTCCAGGTGTCTGCTGAAGCAGCCCCTGTCTGCGGCAGTTGGCCGCAGTGAACTGGTTAAATGTGAGGTAAGCTTCACGTTTAACCGGTTAAGCAGTTACATGGGATTTTAAATCCCTAGGTAAAAGGCAGCCCCAAAGCACAGCTGTAAGCCTGGCCTTTCTGTGCACTCTGCGCCCAAATGCAGGGCTGGACTGAGCTCTGTGGGGCAGGGCTCATGGCTTCTTTAGCCTGGAGCCAGGGATGCATGACGCGGGACTCTGCCGGCACACAGCGCGACTGGGAAGAGACGTCACCTTGTTGACAGATGATTCCATGGTAACCCGCCGGGCAGGTGCAGGATCCGTGCACAGGGTCACAGGCACCACCATTCTGACACAGGCACCTCTGGGTGCAGCCGTCCCCATATGCACCGTTCGCACACACTGCAGTAGACAAGTGCAAACACCTCAGGACTAGCGCTCTCACTGGCCAGGCTGAGAGCAGCGGCAATGACCCACCCGCATCTCTAGTCCCTGAATATTCATTACACAAGCACCCCATACCTAGCACCTCAGACGAGCCAATCCGCTGCTAGGCAACCTGCAAAGGGAATTAAAAGCAGGCCCCTGCCCGGTGACAGAGTGGAGCAAACCTGCCTCAGCTGTGGAGCAGGGAGGGCTCTGCTCACAGGGTAAGGTGTGGGGAGGGAGGGCCTCTGCTCTTTATGCCTCAGTTAAGTGTCATAACCCTAACTCCCCCTTCATGAGCAACTGATCCCCGTGAGGAGTCCCCAGCTGGTGCCGCACAAGCCGTTTCTATTCCCTTTTGCGCTCCAGGGACTGGCTCTGTGAGAACCAGGCTGAGAACCTGTGAGCACGGGCTGGGTTGTCAGGCGAGCTGAGGAGCCCTGCAGCTCCAGGGCTGTCCACAGGAGGGGCTGGGAGGCTGGGGCAGGGGCAGACTTCCCAAGGGCTCTGGCAGGAGCAGTTAACTGGTGCCTGCTGAAGCCACAGGGCAGAGATCGCTTCAGCTCCTGCTGGTGACTTGAGCTGCCCGAGGCCAGTGAGGAGTCACTCACAGCACGGCCAGAGCCGCAGCTCACCGGGTGACTTGCTTGGGCTGTTTAATAAAAGGCTTTAAAAAACAAACCAACCCTCCTGCTCTTCTAATCCCGTGTCCATCCAAGCCCCTTCCGCACTTGCACACAAGACCCTTCCCCACGGCTGCTCTAATGCTGCAGAAAAACTCCAGGGTTCCTGCCTTCCTCTGCTCTTCCCCTCCCCTCTTATATTTTAACACTAGAAATGTCTCGCCTACGCCAGGAACATCTCGGGAGGGAGGGCGGCGTGCCGGCGTGCGGTATCACCGTTATGAAGGAGGCGAAGCCGGAGAGGGGGAGCATTTATTCACACGCCTTACAACTTGACTCCCATTTAATTATGGCCCTTGGTTTGGAGGCTGAACCTGCACTCCTCGCATCAGCTAAAAAGGGAGGAAGCTCCCAGTTCTCCGACCTAGCTGGCTGGGAACCATCGCATGGAAATCTGGCTGCTTCTCCAAGGGGGGAGTGGGCAGGAAATGCAGACCATTATGTATCATAAAGAGGCAATAGGACAACACGCAGTGACCTCTCTTTGGAGGCTCACCCTTAAGACGTTCTTTCAGAACAGTGTGGATTAGGGATGTGACAGGTTAACCAGTGGGGGCTGGAGCAGCTCCAGGCCGAACATGGGCAGCGGCAGCCCCATAGGAGACAGGGTGTGGGCCCGCCTCGGGTGCACTGCAGGTAGGAGCTGCTCCGGCTCGGCTGGAGCAGCCCCTACTTTTGACTGAGCGGAAAGGGGGCATTCCAGCCCAACCTCCACTTCAGTCAGTTAACCTTTTAAACACGACACTTACCCAGTTAACCAATTAAACGGGATTTTACATCCCTAGTGTGGATGTCAGGGTTAATGGAATCACATTTCCCCACTGCTGCAAGCACTAGGCTGGCAGCGCCCGACAATGCTCCCAGTCACAGAGAACATAACTGACACATGCTGGACTTGCCTTCGCTGCAGTTGCTGCCGATCCAGCCAGCGTCACAGAGGCACCCCGCTGCAAAAGGAGGAAACAATTCAGGGATCGTAGCTCAGACCCACAGAGATACCCCGATACTCCCACACAGTGCTGCACCCAGACGGCAAGACAAGGGGTAACGCGCTCTCCTCCAGGAGAGCCGGGGACTGGACCAGCTGGGCTCAGGCGCAGCGGAGCCAGGAGTGGGAGCAGCTCTCCAAGGGAAGCAGGCTTTAGTTCTCAGCAGGGCACTGAGGCCCGGGGCACTGGGAGCCTGTGGGATGAATCACCCAGGAGCAGTAGAATGAAGGTCACTGGTGACACTAACTAGCCAGGCTCCAGGGCAGTGTCTCAGCAGGGCAGGAGAGGTCTGGGGAAGGGACTGCCCTGCTGTTTGGTCATGGAACAAGCTCGGTGGTCCCCGCCAGAGATGGGAAAGGTTAACTGGTTATCTGATGGGGGCCGTGGCAGCTCCCCACCTGCTGCGGACAGAGCTGCTCCAGCCCTGTGGGGCCACCCAGAGCAGGCCCAGTCCGTGGCAAACCTGGGCGTGTCACAGGAAGGTGCTGCACCAACCGGGCTGGGGAAGACCCTGCCTTTGACGGGGGAGGGGAGGGAAGGGCACTCCATCCCAGCTGTGATGCCCCTCCTCCCCACTCCCTTTAATTGGTTAACCAATTAAATGGAATTTCACACCCCTCGTTTATCCTGCAGGCATAAAGGGAAGGGGACAAGGAGGGGCCCTGGAAGGAGAGATGCGCACATGAGGCTCTCTCTTCCATGGGCCAGACCCTCTCCCAAGGCACATCTACACTAGGAAATTATTTCGGAATAACAAAATCGAAAATGGCTCCTGAAATAACAAAATCGAAATAGCACGTCCCCACTATGGGGGAGCCTCAACATTCGTCCGAGGCAGGCTCCATTTT